GTGCGAGGGAGGCTGGTGCGTGACCGGGCCGCGATTGCCTTGAGCTATCTGAGCACTTGGGCAATTTTCGACGTGTCCCTTGTTACACTAGACCTGGCAAATGCTTTCGCAGCAGATACAATTTCCGCCGCCGCAGCATTCCGCTTGGCCAGAATCATTCGAGCCTTCCGCCTCCTGCGGCTGTTGAAGATTGCGCGGCTACAGACTGTTGTGCAGGAACTGGCAGCATCCACAGGGCGGCAGTGGCTCATGCTCGTGATTGCCATCATCAATACCACGTTTGTGCTTCTCGTAGTTGCGCACATGCTGACCTGCATTTGGGTTTGGCTCGGACGAAGCACGCAGTCAGAGGGCAGAGAGAGCTGGATCGACATCAATGGAGCAGCGACACTTTCTATTCCTTTGCAGTATCTGCATTCCTTGCGGTACGTGATGAATTCTCCGTCCCCACCGACGATAGCGCCAGACAATGGTCAGGAGCGACTGTTCGACATCCTGACATATTGGCCTTCCGATTGCACTAGGGGTTGCGGACCATCAGATATCACAGAACATGGCTAGTTAGCGGGTACATTTGCATGCAGGGTCCGCAGGGCGTCGTTGGAACAGACTTGCTCGGTCTCTGTCACAGCTGTCTTGACCTGTTGCATCAGGTTTTCAATCTTGGTGATGGGTACGACGATTTCAACCATTGCCGGGTCTCTTCATGACCTCCGCGCCATGAACGAAGCTCGTTCACGGCAACGCCGGGAGGTCCGACTCTACTTGACAGGCCAGCGACAAGCGACAGGGCCTGAATGTAGTGCATGTACCTTGCAAAGCCTACATAGCCGATGCATTGTCCGAGTTGGTTGGGTCACCGGTCGAACCTCATGCAGTAAATAAAGAGATGCTGTTGGGTACTCTGCACATGTACAGAATGTGTTGAGGACAGCACCCCCATTTGACAGACATCTTTTGCTTGAAAGGCCAGAACGCCTCCTATGAGCTCGTTTCCAGAATCATGAAGCTCCTTGGACAGGTTTGAAATTGTTTGCCTCGCAGGATTTCAGGTAATGGCAATGTCCATGGTCAGAGTGCACCGTGCCTCTGATCAGGGCTTAGTCGCAATTCAGCATCGGGTGTTTCGTGGGTAGGCTGGCGGAGCCAGGTCTGATTGGCTCTCACACGATCGGGACCGTTTGCCGATCTGTGTCGTTTTTCATCCGGAAATGTATGTGCAGCAGTTTCGGGTACATACCTCGTAACGATGCGAACAGGCATGACGCCCGGCAGGCTCCTGTCATGTTCTCGAAGTATACAGCGGCAGCGCTGCATAAGAAACGCCTAGTTGGCGACCTGGAGACCATCGATTTCTTAGTGACTGCAGGCTGTATTTTCTTCGAGCAATGTGCCTTTATGGATTTGGTATGCCTAGGCTTTCTTACTTGATTTCTCGGATTGCACCTGTCACTTCCTCCCTGGCCCGACGAGGCATTCCGGCCTCTCAACCTCGGAAGGCATTGACCTTGCATAAGAAAGCCTGGAAGGCACTGACGGCCGGGTAGTCTGGCCAACTGAGACTGAGGGCTTTGGAGCCGATGTAGCTGTAAAGCTAGATCTCCTGTTGAAGCCAAAGTTCTTTCCGAGGTTTGTGGACTACAAGCTAGAAAGGACTCTGGCAGTTCAACTCGACCCGACATTGATCTCGCCGACTCTGCAAGCGGAGCTCTTCGTTTCGCAAAGATCTACTTTCTTGTGCAATATTCCAATATTTGCTGTCGCAGCAGACGTATACCCGGATGTTTTCGCCAAGATCTGTGCGGCCCTGCAGAAGCAGGCCTACGAGAAGGGAGAGTGTGTCTTCGTGGTGGGGGACTTGGCAGACCGGTTGCACATCACGGCGGCGGGCGTCTTCGAGCTCGACGAGGCGCCAATGAAGAACCATCCTAAAAGAATCCAGGGGGAAGAGGCCCACTGGTTCTCCGAGATTGGCCTTTATGCGGAGTTTGTGCTCCACACCGCGACGCTGAGGGCCCGCAACATCGCTGAGGTGTTTACTCTGACGACTTGCTGCTGTGCGTGCATGGCTCACCAAGCTCTACGGCCATGTTCTATGAGTATGCCAGGGACTTCCTCGCGATGCAGGAAAGCAGCCAAGATAAACATCATCGACAGGTGGAATATGCACAATTTTGCTGTGACAAGAACACACACTACCGAAGCGTTCGCCCTGATGAGAGAAAGCTTTTTCACAACATGGACGTGAGAAGTCATGTGCAAGATTTGCAGCACACAGAACGTCCACAGGATCCGTGGGAGCACCTAGCTGGTCTGATGGGTGATGTCAGAAGCCAAAGCCAAGACGCAGGGCTGGATGCCTCCGAAGTGGGCAGGCCAGCCGGCGGCGATGAGTGTGTGTAAGAGGGTCTTCAATCATCTGCTTCAATGTATTGGGAACTAGCTGAATCGTAAGACACCCTTCGAAAGAATCATGCTTTCTGAGAGGCAGCTGCAGACCCTGCTGCCCGAGCTCCACTGTGCTGTGGGTTCCTACGCGGTGTTCGAGGAGTTTGCTGCTAGGGATCAAGCAGAGTCTGCGTGCGTGAGCACCGTCGCTCTGCTTTGCAACCGGTACGACATCTACACGGAGCAGCAGCCTGACGGCGACAAGCTCTCCTTGCCACTTGCTCGAAAGCCAGAGAAGAGTGGTAGGTGGACGTAGGCCCTGTAGGTCCTTAGGTGGTAGCCTCTTAGCCTCTTCTCGTCAGCTCAGGTCGCAGTGGGAGCAGCTCCAGGCTCTCGTGAAGTGGTCGGCACCTTCGGAGGGTGAAAAGTTTGCCGTGCTCGTACTTCTTGGCATCAGAGCCTTGGGTAAATCCAGGGCCGTGCGGCAGCAAGCGTCTCAGGGAGATCCAGACCGTGCCGTTTTGTATCTCGTGGACTCAGCACGAAAAGTCGTACCTTCGGTTGAATGCCTGGAAGGCAGAGACCCTTCAATGGTTGACCTGCTGCAAGAAACCGTGCTTGCCCAGGAAGTTTTCAAGCTCGCTCAAATGATGCAGGGGGAGAATGTCCCTGGAAATATTGCAGAGCTGAGAGACTTCTTCATGCACCGCAGTACGACCACATTCAGGTTTTACATCCTCTATCTCCTTGGATTCATGAGTGGCATCTCGGGTGGCCGTGGCTCCAGATTTATGATTGCCAGGAATGCTGATGCTGCTGTTTCCGCAATTCACATGCTGAAGCACTTGCTGGACAAATCTCCCTCGGGTATCTACTGGAGTTATCTTATCTCTCGTGCTCGCCCTATGGGCCTTCAGCACCGCACGGCAGAGGAACTGGCATTGGTTCGCCTTGCTTGTTTGAGCCGTGTCCGCGATGCCCCGGGGCTGACCACCTTATGGCATTCGTGGCAAGCTTGCACCTCTTCGGAAAGGAAGTTTCTTGTGGAGCATTTCCTCATGGACGGAATTCAGGAGCGTGCGTTTGTCCTTCAGTTCTTGCCAGACTGCATATCCAGTGCACGTGCTAACGCCTTGCTGGGTCTGACAGTGCTTCTGCAAGTCCTTGTGGATTTGCTCAGCAACCTTTTCCCTGCGGTAGAGAACATGCCCGTGCTGCGACGCAGGCAGATAGTTACCGTCGATCTGTCGGACTTGAGTGCGTTTGCAGCTGCCGTGCGAAATAGGTTCATCTTTCGCACATGCATTTCCCGTTGCAAGTTCCATAGTACACAGACAGCGATTCTGGTTCAGATGGCCGATGAGAATTGGACACGGGCACACCAACAGGAAAATGACTTCTCCAATCTTGCATATGGTTTGCGCGACATACTTGTTCAACAAAGCTTTCCAGACGAGCCTCGTTCCGTAGAAGCTATCGACACCGAAAGGGTGTGACTCGACAGCTTTGCGAAGAGCTGCGCAGCATAGGCTGAGACAGCTAAAATGTTTATCATTTAGGTCTGCCTTCGTGGCTCGTGAGCTTGCAAACACAGGAAGTGTTCAGCCGATTGAGTTGGACCCACTGCGACGTTATGGCAAATCTGCTATGCTAGAGTACTACCTGCTGAACACTCCCGTATGACAGGCTCATCTTATCCCGTCCAAGGCACGCCAGCATCTCTGAGGATTCTATCTCTCAGGCTTTTAGAACGACAACTTCCTGTCACGTGGCTCTCGCAGGCTACTTCTGTTTGAGCCCGTTTCTGTTGACTCAAATGTCCGAACGTTCCACACCCGGATTAAAAAAGCCGAAGGAGGTTTCGTTCCCACAAGCTGCTGTTCAGTTGAGCAAATGCCGCAGCTTGCCAGCTTGTCCCCACCCTTTTGTGGAGGGTTTGCTCTGCATTCGAGTCATTTCATGTTGCACGTTGTGGAAGGCGTTGGGTGGTTTTGGGCCCGGCGCCCGGGCGACTGGGCTTGCAAGGACGCGTGTGCTCAACGATGCTCAGCTGGGCCTGCTGCCTCCGACCCAAGGATGTCCACAGATCGTATGCCAGCGCGGGTGGCCGAGTGCCGATTGCCCGAGCGGCCCGACCTGGGACGGATGACGACTCAGAGCCCGAGATCGGGTGCATCTGCGGCTACACTTGCGGAACCGAGAAGGCGAGCAACAGAGATTGCACACAGGAATGTGCTTATGGCGAGACTTCCTGTGCAGGCCCTGACGAGGCACCTGGACCGCTTCCCTGGTGATCGATTGCACGCGCGGAAATGAAGTGAATGTTTCACTCAGGTCCTAAATCCCCCATGGCAAGCCTTCAGTCAGCTTACGTAGAAGCAAAGCAGGCGGCACCGCCATGCTCAGGAAGCATGAAAGGCATGCAAGGCGGCTTGCATGCAGAGGTTTCACCGTCGTAGCTAGGCCTCCAGAGACGACTTCAGGCTTCCATGCATCGTGCATGCACAGGCAAGGGTCCAAACTTCACATCATGTTCCGACATCTGGTTCTTGCGAACAGTGATATTCACGAGATGTGCAAATCAAACACTTTGTGCTCTTGATGTTGGCAAGGAGGAGGCTTTGGGCCAAGCTCTTGTGGAGGAGCTGCTGGCTATTGGGATTTGGAAGATTTCTTCAGCCTGTTACAGACAGTTGGAACACCCGTCCTTTGCACTTTTTCAAGTTGGGCCTGAAGGTATGTCAACGTCAGCAAGTAAAAAGGTTTTGACAGGGGTGACTTTGCGAATTTGTTGAATTGTCTCGCATGCATCTCTCCCGTGATTAGATGCCGTCTTTCAGCCTCAAGCACATCAGACAGACTTGCAAGCTGACCTATATAGCATGCTGTGACTTGTCTGCTTCGATCGAAACTTGCACAGCCTCAGCCGAGCCTTGGCCAGCAAGTACTGTAGTTTGCTGCCACTTCCGCTTTGCATGTTTTTGTGTCAGAGAGCCTTGTAAAGATGCCAGTCCAGGTGATGACTTGATGGCTGCACGAACATCAGCCGGCTGGCACACTGTGCCAGATACGCTTGCGTCTCTCCTGCAACCGCGGGCTCTTTGCGCGTCCTACGCACGACAGCTGTGGTTTCCCGTCAACATCACTACAGGCAAAAGGGGGGATTGCAGCTTTTCTGGAGGCCTTTGATGCAGTGGGTGATGCCAGCCGCGCTCTTCTCTGGTCCTACCAGGCACCGCTGGGGCACAGAGTGACGACTGATGCCTCTGCACGGGCTTTTGCAGTCTGTGCATCCTCGCAAGGATGCCTTGCATCGAGAGCAGCATGGACTTCCCCCCCGGCTGGCGCCGCGGCGGTCGGAAGCCTCTTGGCTCAGACTTGCGCTTTCGCCGCTTTCGCCATCGAACAGCCTGTTGCGCTGGCAAGAGCATTCCATATTTGGCAATTGTTACCTTGGCAGTCCTAGCATGCCACGTGCACTGGTGGGTTGGCAGTCTGCTGGTAGTTGCAAGTAGGTGCATTGCGTGTGATCAGGATCACAAGTCTCTTTCGCTGCCTGCTGTGGCTACTTTCCGACACGCTTGTGTGAAAACAGACAGCTCGCAATGGTGCTGCCGGGAGGAAGCCTTCTCATTGGCCTCATGGCCAGTTAAACTGGTTGCCGGGTCAGATGTCTTTGGAGTTTTGCCGTGCGCAGCTTTTGGAGAACGGAAACTGCTGCCTCGATCAGATCAGCGACCCATCTGTTCTGCAGCGGAGCATAAGTCGACCGGGCACTTCCTGGGAGTGTATCGCGGCTAAGGGCTGCGTTTCAGAGCTGGGCTTGCGTGGGGATGACCTCCTGTTCATTCCGGCCGGTGCGACTTGTGAATCTTGCCGCATTCTTTTCTTGCATGGAGGCAGTTGGTATTATGGCTCACCGACTTCGACCGGATACAATGTGCTGGGTTCGAAACTGGCCGCGAGAACAGGATGTATCGTCATGATGCCCGACTTTCCGTTGCTGCCAGTTGGAGACTTTGACTCTATGCTCAAAGCTTCTATTGAAGCGATGGTGTGGCTTGGGTCTCCTGCAGTTCTGGAAAACTGTCGGCCCGACGCTCTTGCCAAGCTTTTCGTTGCTTGCATGCTGGTACTCGTATTTTTCAGGGTTCTTTCTGTAGTTGGGCAGCCGAGCCTTCAAAGCCCAGCCTGGGCCTTACCAGGTCGGTGGAGACTCCAGTGGAGCCACAACGGCCATCAGCCTCATCCTCCGTTTGCAGAGCCCGAGTAGCACCATGCCCAAGCTCAATGTTGCTGGCGGCTTCATGTGGAGCCCGTGGACTAATTTGAGCCTTCACTCAACAAGATTTTGCTCGGGTGTCTTGCACACCAACGACTGTGCAGTGCACGTTGACACATGTATCCGTGAACGCTAAGCTATGGGTGCATACATGTATGCATGCGTGCTAGCCCTTGTCCACTTTACGTGCTTTGTTGCCCGGTCTACTTGTGCGCTTGCTTGCGCTCTAGCCTTCCTTGCCCGCCCGCGGAGACACAGACTGTATGTGCACTGCATTCGGAATGTAGAAGCCTCGTGCCTTTCGGCGGTCTTGTCTCCGAACGGTTTGTGTGCACCCCCCAGCTGTGTAGAAGTACGGCAACTGGCTGATTTCTAGTCATGATCCTTGCAGACCTTTCGTGATACTGGACCCTTCGAGGACCTGGAGCCTTGCAGTAGTAAGCGGTCAATCATTAATCTGTTGGTTAGGTCTCAATCAGGGATGCTATGCTGCAGTTGTTGTATCGACGAAGACCCAGTGCTGTGAGGATGTGTGACACACCGGAATATTTCACCAATGCGTACTCGAGGATCTTCAACTCAAGCTTGGGAGAAGCTTCAGGTCACCAAGGTGACATACTGTTCAGAAGTCCGCCAGCAAGAAACATGGAAGAGTTCCGCGAGGTGGCCTTGCAATATGTTGGAGGACACAAGCAGATGCTGTTGGACCCAATTGCATCACCGATATACGCAAGCCCTGAGATGCTCGCTTCGGTGCCTCCTCTGCACTTCTTGGTGGGCTCCGAGGAAACATTGCTGGGAGACAGCGTCATCTTGGCTCAGAAAGCTGCGGCAAGTGGCGCAACGATTGTTGTCGATATTTACCATGGAATGTGGCACGACTTTCCGATGTACTCAGAAGGCTGCGGTTCAGGCGCCGAGCTTGTGTTAGGAATGAAAGGATGGGACAACACGGCTGAATTCATTCAATCTGCCACAGAGATCAGCAGTTCAAACGGATGGCCCATCATACGCTATGTCTACGACGAGTCTTTAGAGGGTAAGAGCTCCTGGTTCATGGAGGCGCGACCACTGCGGCTACACGGCCGACCGCCTCAGCCATCTAGTTTCGGTGCCTGGTCCTTCTTTACTGGCCTTGCAATTGGAGTATTGGTGAGCAGTGCTGTCTTCATTGGCGCGCTGTCGCTGAACAGACGACGGAACCTTCGAGAAAATGGCAGCCGGGCTGTGCCACTTGCTCTTGAGATGTCAACGAGGCACGGCTGCTCCTAGCGGCCTTGCTCAATGGCCTGCAGGTCTTTTCGCTTCCAAAAGCATCGGTTCGTCTCTTTTCAGGCTCAGAGCCATGTCTCGCCTCGACCCTTAATCCAAGCGGCCCTAAGGAGCTGCAGCTTTCCAGAGCACAGAGTTGATTGGGGCCAGGCAATAGGGGGTAAGCAGGCCCTAGCTTCGGTTGGACGACACGCTTGATGCAGTCCTTTCCGGATGGCCCAGCACGTGCTATCAGACTCAGGCTCCGCCTCAGCAAGGCATGCACGCCAGGACGCGGCCTCAGAGAGAGCTACACGGTTCAATCAGACTCGCAACATGTCGAGGTGCAGCTTGGAGAGCCAGCCAGATCTCCGTGAGGAAGCTTGCGTGCCTTGCTTTGGATACAGTGTGTAGATGTGGACGTAGGGAAACGGCAGGCGGAAGGGTTGTTGATTTCGGGGAATGGGGACATGTGCAGGTAGCAAAAGCATCGATTGCATCGGTTCAGGTGGTAATGGATGCCGAGAACCTTTTTGCCTTCCTAGCTAATTAATTAGGTGTGAGGCAAAAAACTACCAGCCAGAGCATTCGCAAAGGAGTGATGTGTCCTGGGTGCTGCAGCCTGTTGCAGTCAGTGCTTCCTTTCTGTCTAGACTTCATGCGGACCTGCCAGAATGGGCCGAGTCGGTGACACGGATGTGACCGTGCCTGAGTGCACAGTTCAATCAGTTGACCAAGGTCTTGCGGGCAGATGTGTTTAGTGTGTGAGTCTCCTTGATGGATTGCGACATGTGGCTGGCGTGGGTTTGGTAGCGTGGCCTTTGCGGCTGTGAGCTTCCTAACTTCCGCCACCTCCCGCCCCGCCCCACTCCAGCTTGGGAGTTTATGACGCTCTTCTCGCTTTCAGCCAGAGGAAGCCGTGGAGTCGCTCTTGGTCAGAACTTGCCCGATGTTCTCCCCGGGACCCTGTGCTGACACGCACAATCCAGTGAGAAAGCTATGATGCGGACACTGGCATCCACTGCTCACTCGCACACATGACATTGGCGGAATTTGGTTAAGTTTAGCTGACTCATAGTTCCTCCGTCTGTGAAGGCGCTATCTCGGCCTTGGCCGACAGTTTACAGCAAGTGTACATAATGCAAGATTGCCCGTCGCGCATCTGTTGGCCACCATATTGCTGGCAGCGTGACACAATTCCTTCCCAACAATTGTGCCATGACATGGAAATGTGTGGCTTACTCGCAAAGTATGCGCAGAAGCAGTGTGCTGAGCAACCGATCCTCCAGAATAAGCTCGAACCATGCAAGGCATCCCTGCCACGCCCACGGGGAAGCATTGCTGCGCAGGCTCTGGCGTGCCAGGCATGTGGTCACGGTACAGTTTGCATTGTGCCTCTGCGGGAGTTTTGTTTTCTCTGTGTCACCTCGTGCAGTGAATCTCCGAATTTGCCCCTGCACTTCAGTTCAACATGCTCGATGGTCCAACGCCCCGGAGAGGGGGGTCCCAGACAGACTTGATTTCGGGCTCGTCTGCATGCCTTGGTAGGCACGCTGTGAAGCACCTCCTCATAGATGGAAGCTGGAGCACGCCATGCCACATGGAGATCTTCAGAGCTTCTTGCACAAGCAGCTGGACATGGGATAGAGTCTGGCAAACCGTTCGACAACGATGTGTCAACTAGCTCAGGCAGGACCAGCTTCTTGATGAGCTACGGGAAATGCGCAGCATGTTGGCACGCCGGGATGCCGAGTTCGAGGCGGCCCAAGACGCGCGCTCGTACTGTCCGTGAGAGCCGGCGAAACTCTGAGAGGCGTTCCGGCAGGACGTCAAGCACCTGCTTCGCGGCGGGGCTTCGCCGCACTGGCAAACCATGCCACGTGACATGCAACACAGATAAACCAACAACCGAATGCTAAAAAGCATATCTGTGCAAGTTTGACTAGATCCTAGATTATTGCTTTGCACAAAAGTAATTACTACCAGAACAGTTGCAGTCTCGAAACGTTCCAGTGCGTCTGGTACAGTGAAGGCACCAGGATGTTGTATCTACTCGAACGGTGGGACAGGTCTTTGCGAGCCTTCCTGGGCACGCAGGTCAGCTCGACTCTTTAGACCTGTCGAGGAATCTTGCAACATCCTTTCCCAATGCTTATGCGAGGCATGCATGCATCCGAATGCACGCAGGTCAACAGTCACTGCCGATTTCCGATCTCCGCTCGATACGCCGGTCGCCCGCACGCGGCTTGGGATGAGTGGTTCAGCTCTTTGGCTGCAGCATGCCCATGTCACGAAGCCGTTTGGATTTGGGAAAGAGATTCCGGGTGGCGCGTCGGTGTCTCCTGTGTGAAATATCTCTGGGCTGTCATGGGTTTCAGTACCATGGCCCTCTTCCTTGTTGGCACTCGTACTGCGGTCTTTTGGGTTCTTAGAAGCGTTTCCCTTGGCCGGCCAAGCATGCGAGAGGATATCCTCAGATCAGTTATTTAGTCGACTGTCTCACTCTTGGCCCGCGCGTGCCGCATGTAGCATGTCTCGACGAAGAAGAGGCACCTTCCTTTTCCTGCAGTGGTGTCAACTGCGAACCATTTCTTAAGCCAAGGGAAGGCCGACTACGATCAGCCCAATCCAGGAGATGGCGTCAAAATCTGGCTCGGCCGGATCCTTGGCCGGCCGAATCATGGGAAGGCTTGCGTAAGCCTCTATATCTAAAGAGGAAAGACTCTTCCTGTGCGGATTCTGCAGTGCGCACATCCCTCACTGCAAGGTGGACCGAAGTGGGAGCTTAGGCAGCCAGAACAGCTTGACGGCCGCAGTCTCAGTCTTCTGAAGCTGCAGGGCCGCCGTCAATTCCATGCCATACACCCACACACACGATCTGTGCACAACTGGAGAAATCTGCATTGACGAAAGCAAGCCGAATTTTCAAAAACCAGGCCTGACTTCGTTGGCCGAGCACGAGCACCACCCTGCCCTCCGTAAACCTGCTAGTCATCAGTACGTGAATGCCTTTGAGAAGCATGAGAGGCAGAAGACGAAGAACTGACAAAACAATTCCACCACCATGCAACGGTTGAAAGGCGTCGGGGATCTAGCGGGGCGGGCATCTGCGGCTCAGGTTTCGCCGGAAGCGCTTCGAGCCAGCAAAGATCTCAGCCGCCGGCCTCAGAAGGGCAGCCAGCGGGGCCGCGAGATGAACCGTGACTCCACAAGTGTTTCGTGGGTTTGCTGCTATTGCCATCGGTCCATCAACATATGGCGGAGATTCGTGGTTGAGACTGGCATGCATGTCCTTCACTTCCAGGTGGCGATCTGCACCGGGCCATGTCCCCCGAAGGAAGCCGACAGAATTGTCTGAATGCCAGGGTCATTTCATTCGCTCGCATGGATGTGCTGATATGTGCTGCCAGCCCTCTTAGCTGCAGGACAGCAGGATGGCTCCTTTCTTTGGGCGGAGTCATGTGGTGATGCTTGGCTGAAGTGCTGCTGCTTTTGGTTTCGACATGCAGACGACCAGTGATGACCAGTGCCAAGGACTATTCCTTTCAGGCAAACCGTCGGAAGGCCAAAGCTTCACCTTCGGCGAAACCTTGGCGGCTTGCATGTGTTTTTGCATTTCTCATTCCGCTCTGTGCTGTGTCTGTGTGCAGAGGTTGCGCAGCAAGCTTGTTCCTTCTGTGAGTCTTCCTTCGACTTGCCGGCTAGCCTGTGGCATGTAGATGAAGGAGGAGGTGCATTTCGTCTCCTGTCGGATCGTCCGCGTCGTTATTTCACTTCCGCGTGTCACTTTCCTTATTCGCAGAGAGAGAATCCTGCGTCGAGTCCAAAGCATTTTGTCGCTGGCTGTCCGAGGGCGTGAGGGGCGGTTCGGATCGCCGGATTTCGCTGGCGGCAAAGGGTTTTTTGTACAGCCGAGGTTCTGCTGCTAGTTTCCCACTCTGCTGACCGCGATCTGTTCCAATATGGCAGGTGGAGTTCTTCGGACAGACAGATGTTCAGTTGTCAAAAGCTGGCGGCACAGCCTGTCCGCGCTAATGCTGCAGAAGCCGGATAGGATCCTGAAAGGACGCCTATGTTGGGAATGTTAACCGCCGACCTGTCTGTTGTAGCATTTGTCTACCACCCTCGAAGACCCGAGATGTCACGTTCGTTGAGGCAAAAAAGGGCCGAGAAATTCCACCACGGCCTCAACATCACGCGTCTGAGTAGCTGAGCGAATATGGAGTTCACTCGAGACGAAGCGACCTGTGCCTGAAGCGGCTGGAGCATCCAAGAGGATCGAAGAGAGATCGCCGTGTAAGTGCCAAAGGTGCGCTGTGCAAGTGAGAAAAAGCAGTCTTTGAATGTGTGTTGCAGCTGACTGATGCTGGCGATCTCTGTGAGGAAATGTATTATTCTTATTATTCTGAAGCTTTGCCCGAAGCCAAGAGGAGTTCATCCGGGTCGACTTCCAGGACCGGGTGCGCACGGTGCTGGAGAAGGCCAACGCTGTGCTTACCTCGTTCTGCAGCACCGGTGGCAAGGCTCAACTCTCCTCTTTCTTGCCTCGTTGCAGGCACTTCAAGGCGAAGAGACGGCCAGTTTTAAGTTCGTCCTGGTCAGCAAGGTCCGGCGTAGTCTGGAAGCCTTGCCTGCAATCTGTGCGCTCCACATCGGATTCGGGCTGGCGGTCCTGGAACACCAGTGTCGTTGCATGCCGAGCTGCCTTTTGTCACATAAAGCCTGCATCCTTCTCCTTCTGCCAGTCCGGGGAGCACCTGGAGCTCCTGCTGAATGCCACCCCGCGACGGGCTGCGAACGGTGACATCAGCGGAGCTGTTTTTGTCGGTCAGGACGTCGGCCTGACGATTCTGGTATGAGCTTCTAGTAACTTCTAGTACACAGCACAGCAACTACTGCCCTCAGTCGTGCACTTGTAGGCATATTTGTGGCAATGCTTGCGTCTGACTGAGCATTCATGAGCATTCCCAGGTGGCCCAGCAGTCTTTCTTGTAGTTTGCAGAATTTCGCGGGCGTCGTGCAGAAGAGCGCAGCGGTCGACTTTAGACCCATGACATGAACTGGACACATGTGAGGTGAAGCTTACCTGATGTGCGGCAGGACATCACTGAGCTGGGCAGAGCAATGGTTGGGGCACAGCAGGTGGGATGGGCGGTCTGATCATGCAGCACGAATTTGTGGGGCGTTTTGGCGCAGGTTGCAGACGACTTGAAACGCCTCCTTAACACCGCCAATGCTCCCATCTTCGAGATCGATGTGGAGGGCAAGGCTGGGCATGACCTCCAAGCACCCATGAACATGTGTCCAGTTAGAGTGCCAAAGCAGCGTTTTGGGAGGTGGTGGAGTGGAACCGGAAGGTTGCTACCATGACTGCTTTCTCAAGACAGGAGGTTCAGCCTTCGCTTGCTCTCGGGACCTGCTGACTTTCTCTAAGCTTCAAGACAACAGTGGATGGCTTTGGCAGATCGACTGAGGATCCGCTGTCCTTGATGCTTCCTTGGCAACTGCAGAATGCAGCGCTGCTTGAATTCTCGGCTCAAGCTCCACAGAACGACCTGGGAACATGGCCGTGAACAAACGGTGAGAGCGTGAAATGCCCAGCAGAAGCAGAAGCTGGTCTGGAAAGAAACAGACTCGGCCGCGAATTGTGCAATAAAGTGCAATGCTCAGGATTCTGCTCCAGTGTCGAAGTCGGGAACAGCCTCCGTGATTAGCGAAGGCACGGTTGCTGAGGAGTTTCGTATCTGCTTGAGTTCAAAATTCGACATAGACATTGCCAGCAGAGAAGCATCAGATTCTGCACTCCAAATGAGATCTTCATCCGTTCTCTGTGCGAGGCAACGGATCATGGGTTTCACATTCTACATTGGCGAGCTGCGCGTGTTCTTCCCATATGACAGCATCTATCCGGAACAGTAGCTGGATGGCATTTGTTTCAGAAGGCTGCGCCTGCTTCGATCTCAAGATGGTTGGTGGAGGTAGGACATGACTTGTGATAAAAAAATGCACGGTTCAGTCCGTGACTGAAAACTCGACCCAATGGCAGAATTCGACTTGTTACCGGTACAATCGCTGTTGCCGGCATCAGACACTTTTTGTCTTGCCAAAAAGCACATGGAGGTAGTGCCATGCGGGTATCCCAGTCTGACCAAATTTTGTGTCTAGCCTTGTTGAAGCATATTGCTTAGCGGTGGGAGGTGCAGTTTCTAGCGTGTGTGTGTGTGTGTGTGCGTGTGTGTCTGTGTGCGTCAGCCGCAGACAAGTGAACTTGCATGCGGAACAAGTCACTGTGAGACGAGACCTCCGGATGCGCAAAACCCGCTGCTGCAGCGGAACTCCTCGGGTTCCGCCTAACGGCTAGTGGCGGCTAGTGTTTACAAGAACACTGAGAAGTTCTCAATGCCTGCTGCCGTCTCCATGTCGACACACCCTGGTACCTAATCTACCTGCCGGAACTTCAACCAGATTCATTTCAGTCTTGTCCAGACCTATAGGATCCGTAGCAGCGAGTCCAGCATCATTCGAGGTACCGCTACATGTGCGAGTTGAAGCGGGCATTGGATGCCAAAGGTAATGGCGTCCTTGAGATGCCGACGGGTACAGGCGGGCTGGCATTCCCTTGAATCCAATGCGGTGAGGGGCCGTGGAAGGGCTAGCCGGCCAGCTGTAAGCTGCATGCAGCAGCTGTTCTCCTCCTTGGATAAATGCATTCAAGACACATCGTGCTTCACACCGCCAGGAAAAACTGTCACCTTGTTCTCATTGATCACCTCGCTGCTTGTCTTCGTCAGAGCTGCGCACATGCAGTGGGACTTGTAAGCGTCCAGATGAAAGTGTTGATTTTGGTTGTGCTGCTTAGGTACCAGTGGGCACACCCTGAAGTGGGTCGGTTGGTTTATTGCACACGGACAGTTCCCGAGATGAGCAAAGCTCTTGAGGAGCTGCGCAAGGCAGGAAAGCGTCTTGTGACACATTGGCAGCGCAGCGCAGCAGTGCCAGGTCATAGACTTCCGTGTGGAGGTTTTAGCCAAAGATCGAGCTTCGACAAAAAGACCGCACCTCAGAGACCTTCCATGGGGTTGGCAGCTTAAGGTTAATTGGTTAATTTCAGGACCAACATCTTGTGAACAGTCGCTGTCAATTTTCTGCATTAGCCGTGCCGGGCAAAGGTGAGGATTGTGCTCAAGAGCCGACCGGATTGTCTGCCGGGCACATCTTGGCGGTGGCTTGCTTGGACATTGCACATAGAGGTAGACCTTGAGGCGTGCATAGCAACACGAGACCGACTCTCACCAGAATCAGTGCTGATCCTCCTGTAGATTGTTGATCTTCTTGGACCAGTGCCACTTCAGGTCGGATTATCTGCAAGACGCCGCTCGTATCGAATTTGCATGGAAGTCCCGGCAGGCTCATGCGTGGTGAGGCAGCATGTTCAGGAGTCGGCGTGGTTGAGGGGAGGAAATCGTTTCAAAGTTCACCGAGCTGCCGGAGATGAAGCAGCAATCGGTTTGCTGAATCGTTGCCATTCTTTTGGGTGGAATGGGGAGTATCAATTTCAGCTTTTTTTGAGCCAGAAGCGCTGAAATTGGTACTCCTGCATGTCTCTGGTGTTGGCTCATAAAACAAGGGGAAGTTGGGGGAGGGCCGCTGGGGGGTATCACTTTCAGCGCTTTCAACAGTAACAACGAAGGAGCTGCCACTGCCGCCAGTGGCCACTCCTGCTGCCCACGTTTCGTTGGCTGCCGCGGTTCGTTTTGGTTCGTTTCCAAGCGGCCGACGTTGCGGTTCGATTCGTTTCGGTTCGGTATTCTTGCGGTCTCCTTGCGGTTCGTTTCCTTGCGTTTCGATTCCCGGTTCCCGTTTCGGTGAAGATGTCAGTAGGGAAGATGGCAGGCGAAAGGATTCGATCTGAGATCGCTATGCAGCAGCTAAGGCAACATGTGCGTCCACCCCGAGGTGAGCAAGGAGGGCGATCGAGAGCGCGTGGACGAGCTTGCGGGCTGAACTGCGGGGCGGGGTGCACCTCCAGAGTCCTTGTTGCGACGGTTTTTCTACGTGTTCACTAACTGAGGATGTGCCGACAGTTGACGGCTCCATGGGCAAGGGAAAAGGCGAACAGGGACAGCCTTTGCACGCACTTCGAGAAGTCCCGAGGCAAAGAAAGTCGTCAGTGGATTCTGTGACGATCGGGTGTAAAAACGTTACGCATTTCTGTCTCCTCGACCTCGATTTGTTTCCTTTGTGAACCTGCAAAGAGAGCGCTTGTTCACGACAACTTTCGCTTCCCGTGCACCCAGGTACGAGACTGCACTCGCTCACCAGTCGCAGCTGCTCGATACAGGTGGGACCGCATGCTTGGTCATCACAGTCAGGTGGTGGAAACCCTTGCAGTTGCAATGGGCATGGCATGCCATGCAGCTAGAAACCTTGGGTGTAGCGTGACGTAGCAGAGCCGGCCTCGTTGCAGAGGCATTTACACGATCGAGGACCTGCGCGCCAAGGGCCTGGAGTCGAAGCTTGGCTTGCCGCAGAAATGGGTCCCAGCGCAGTTCTGGTTCGTGATGTGTCAGTGCCACAGCCATGAATTTGTCGTTTGCATGAGTTGATGCATGTTGACGACCGATGCCCACAGGTGGCCCTGTGACATGCAGAACACTGAAGTCTTTTGTTTGGAGATCTTGGCGTTCTTTCGTCACTGATTCTCACTGCATCCAGGGGCTACGGATGGTGCCCGTACTATGCAGCACGACGGCTGATTCAAGCCTCGAGCGTGGTCGTGCTCAACTATCAGTGCATGCCCTAGCACTCGAACGTGGTAGAGCTAGCATGAGGACCAGCTCAGCATCCGATCTAAGCGTCTTGTGCTCGCGGCACCTCTCGAATACTCACGTGGCCAGCCCGGAGGTACGTCCTGGATCCGAAGGTGTCTCTGGCGTCAAGCCTGGGTGGGGCCCCGAGCCTTCCTGGAGCACGGGCGAATGCACGAGGCGGGTGAGAGCACTCCTTCAGTGTTTGCGCTCGTAAATTGAAACCTCCCTGCGGCTCCTGTTGCAAGTAGTTGTACCGTTGAAGCCATCTCCTTCGGGCTTGCTTTTGTAGACCTGAGCGGGAGATCGTCCAGACACCGGCAACCTGCTCTGGAGGTGGTTCGTCGATCGAGCCAAGCATTGTGGTTTTTGACGAGGCCCTGCGCTTCTCTGATTGCACATGCTGTTGCAAAGGGAGTTTGCATCATGTGCTTGCTCTCGTGTGCCCATGGCCATCGCACCTCGAGATGCTTCGAGTCGGAAAAAATGCTGCGACTCCGCCACATCCTTGGAGTGGCAATTTACGTTTCACTTCCATGGCATCCAGCTGCATCGGAGGCTGCGGCCTGCCCTGATGCCGTCTGTAAAGAAGCCCGCGTAGTCTTTGATGAGGTTGACTCTGCAGACGAAGAGGCTTTGCGTCTTGAGCTGCTGCAAGTGAGTACGAAGCTTGAGCGCCGTGGGGGCGAACAGCACGCCCAACTCGCAGCTGTGCAAAATGTGCCTGGCACAGATCGGCAGTCAATCTTCGGCAGTCTCCTTGCCGCGAATGCGGGACGGGTGTCTTTTATGCTTGCAGTCCTGCTGCCACATCTGGTTGCCTTTTCCATTGCATTGTTCCTTCGCCGTCGCGCCGGCGGGCCCCAAAAGACCGTCGAAGTTCTTCAGGAAGAGGAACAGCTCGAACCTCCGCGCAGCACCTCCGTCGTATTCGGGAATACTAAGCGGTAGGATTTGAATCTACCTAACTTTTCTGGTGCACATTGTGACGTGAGTTCTAGTCATCCGATGCTTACATGCCAGTATGGGGGAGGCACTTTGATTTTGACAGGTCTGTCTTACATCGTTGAGCGAGTTGGGCCCATGTGGATCATTCACCTGCTCGGAATCTTCTCCGTGGCAGCTGTTGCACCGAGCATTCCCTACATGTGCTTTGGCCTGACCATGCCTGAAGCCCCTGCTCTTTCAGGGAGCGGCGTTCGTTGATTCCACGGGCAGCACCCACTTCGTAGCTCAGAATAGCTGGAGGATGGCACCTGTCGACCCAAGGTACTTGAACTACTTTGCGCGGCAGCACGCGGAAGCGCCCGTGGACTGCGCAGTTAACATGGCTTCGTTACCCTGTAGCCGAGCTGCGACGGACGCGATGCAGCTCGCTGTCGTGCGAGGTGGGGGTGTGATCCACAGACTTCGGAAGGATTCAGAAATGAAGCCCCTCCTCAGTAGCTAGGTAACCAGGGGGCACTTCTGAAGCCACCCCCAATTCAAAAAGGACCCGGCAGCCTGTGGAAAGTCCCTACCTAGAAGGCCCAGGCGCTGTCGTTCTTGTGTGGTGCTTTGAAGGCTTGGCCGGGCCTGTGGTT